AAAACTCAAAGATTCCACTTCATTATCATTTTAGACCAAAAATGTCCCATTTGTGAAGCTTAAATAAATATTCTAGAGTTTAAGATACATTTTCTGTCATGCAAACTGATTAACTGATGAATTGTTTCCACTCCATTAAAGAGAATGAAGATAATACATGCCGCATCTTTATGGCTATTGTCCCTTATGGTTTCTTTCTGTACAGTGAGAAACAGCAGCGGCGTAAACATACAGCTCACGTAGCTTTACTGTTTCTCCCAGCCGCAGCTCATTTAGCTCACTGATAACATATTTGCTGTGCATCAAGTGTACAAAAGAGAGAGTGTAATATAAGAGCTGTGTGTGTGTGTGTGTGTGTGCCTGTATAAGAGGGAGACAGAAAAGGATAAAAAGCAAAGCCCAGGAGTCAGGTTACCTTCCATTCAGGGGTCAGATAAGTAAGCAGTAATGCAATTTGGCAGGAGCACTTTGAATGACATCCAATGATTAAAATGTCTTCTGTGAGAGAGGACAAAAACAGTCTTGTATACATCATAATCAGACTGGAAACAAAGCCACTCAAGCCCGGGCTCCCTGCGGGGTTAACACTGCTATAGTGAATCAATATTTCAATTCAATTGTAAATAGTGCAGCGTTTCCACAGGGAAGTTGTCAAGGGAATTGATGTGAGTGTCGACCTGTAAATCAAAGTTCGATTTCAGGAAGGGAAAGAGAAAGAAGAAACTCATATGTTCATGTTTTAATGTGGACTTTAGCTGCATTTCAATGGGATTTGAGCCGGGGGTGGGGGGCTCATCAGGCTGCAGACCCAGACTCAACTGCAGACTGACACACAGATGAGACGAGTGAATAATAACAGGGATACAGCGGGGTGACAACTTATTTTAGTGTGAGTAATAGTCTTGTTCATTAGGAGTGACGGTGGGGATCCCCTGAAGGAATTCAACAAAATGGAAAAGCTGTGAAGCTGAAATGTGAGCTCTTATACAGATGAGTTTGAGAAAGGTACATATCTACCTTCTACACACACGCACACGCACACACACACACACACACACTGTCTCAATGTCAGTTTTCAATTTCAGTTATGTTTCATTTGTATGAATGAGTATAGCCATTACTCCAAAAGCAATAAGATAGCACAAAACAGAATAATGCAAGATGCCATTAGATGCCATGATTTTGAATCAAAATGTCTTTGAAATAAATGAGGGAACTGAAAAATCATACTAAATGTGCATATATATACATATATATTTACATATATAAACAGGCTACAGCTAGTTACATAGCGGTTGAGGAGTGCTCTCCCCTCTCTGACGGGTTGGCAGACGTCGTTCTGTCTTCTGAGACAGCTTCTCCTTAAGACTCTGTTTTCATTTGGAAAGTTTATGTAATCCTGTGTTCATGATGCTTTGCTTCTTACACAGATTCCTACATAATTATTGGGGTCCTGGTGGTCACGAGCCTTCCAGATTTCAGGAAAAGTCAGGAAATCCCAGTCTCATCGACATATTGATCAAGAGTTAGGGAAGCTTCTCTCAGCTTCGAGCCATGTGGTGTCACCCCCATCCACCCACATGCTCATTTGTTTCCATATTTTGTGGTTGGTCTGTATGGGAACCCAAAGTGGTCAATATTGAATAAGTAAATAGATAATC